AAGAGGTTTTTTATTATTTCTGGGTAAAGAAGCTCGAAATTCTTAATTTACATCAGAATTACGGTGGATCAAAGATTGCAGTCCAAGGAGCGTCATTGCTAGGTATTTAAAGCAATTTTAAAATTATAATCTGCCATTTTAAGAATGCTGCAGCATTACTGGAACTTCATGCAACTCTCTACGCCTTCAACGGACTTAAAATTTCACTGATTATGTGTCGTTATTTAGAACGCTGAAGAGTTTTTTCTCTTAAAATCTTAGGATCGGAGGATTCAATTTGAATTAGGACGAAAAAAATTGTGGTAATTATTATGACTTCATGGTCTAAAGTCCCGTTTCTCGAGAGCGGTCGCAAGTCAACTCGGAAAGAAATTCACGTAAACAATGCTCGAGATAATTATTTTTTCCTGTCTTGTCATGGGTAGAGACTAGGCGAGCAACTTGACAGAAGTAAATCGAGAATCGTTCTTATTAATTAAATTTTCCAGGATACGTACGAGTTGACCGAGCATCGCAGCGCTAACCTTTAAAATGAAACAACACCGTGTCTCGTGTAGGTTTAGCATTTTAAAGCGAGCCTGAATGTTAAAGGTGCCGTTGAATTTCACGTTGTGCCGTTACCCGAGGCGGTTGATAAAATAATGATTGGTCACCGACTGCCCGAGCCTCGCACGGGGGAGGTCGAGACAGCTTTAAGATTGTCGATTTATGAGGATCGATCTAAAATAGAATCGGATAACTTTAGCCCAGTAAAGTCACGTTCTCCACAAAGCTGTGATCCCAGGAACTCAAGCTCAACGCATTTTCTTCACGGGTTTTTAACCCCACCCTCTTTCAGTGCCCGAGCATCCTCCGCCACCGCACAGTGGATCGAGTCAGTGGGAGAGGTCGGATCAAAATTTGGAAACTTTAAAAGCTTATAACTCCGTTTATACATAATTTTGATGTTCTAGAAGTGGTTTCATTGGTTTCCTCGTACACTTTTCTTCCAAAAGCACCCCTTGAAATTTAAAATGTGACGAATTGAGCATCAAAATTTGCAGTTTTAGTCAAAAATGTCATGTCCGACCTCTCTAATTGACTCCGTCCACTGTGCACCGTTCCCTACTTCTCGTAAGCGCTTCCAACGGAGCCGATGACCCATACCCACCTAATGAAATTATGTCAAGCTAAGTAGTATTCCCCTCCGCCGCACCACTCCGATAAAAAGATTGTTGATGTTCGAAACATGTGGCTCTCTCTGAGATGAGGGATCTAAGAAAATGGAGACAAAATGCATGTACCTAAACAAAGATTATTGAAAGAAAAAAATGTTATTATGATAATTTTTCAAGAACGTACGCAGAAATCGCCTTCTAATCGGCTAGTATACAATGTCTTGGCTGTATTGTCAAAATATCTATTGTTCAGGGACACAGAGAAACATGTATCGTGACCGTATTGTCAAAATAACTATCGTTCAAGCTGTGCTGTCAAAATATCCATCGTTCAGGGACAAAGACACATTTTCGAAGAAGGTAAGAGGGCGCAAAGGGCCACCAGCCTTCTGCGGTGCCGGCCTGACAGGACTCTCCAGCTACTCCTTTGGATACTGAAATAGTCAAAAATTTATGTACAGTAAGGGCCGTTTCCTTCGGAGAATGCCAACTTTCCGGTGATCAGTTGCAGGATAATTTTGCAAACCCTGGTAAAAATTGGCGATAGGAGCTGCGTTTCAAAATACCATAAGAGCTCTTATAGCCGACTGAAGAAGGCGATAGAAAATCACATAGCTGGCTGTAGAAAGTGGAAAAAATCATACGGCGGGGCTACACGAAGCAATAAAAAATTATACAGCCGGGCTATAGTTCCTATCGCCGGGCTTTACCTACACTTTATCGCCTGGCCGTTGCTTTTTCGCCATCGGCTATAAAAAAGGCTATAAGAAATTGTGTAGAAATTCGTGTGCTTTGTAAATCCTTAAATTTGTACGGAATCACCTTAATATTTACAAAACGCACATTATATTTTCCTTAACTACATATTTTTTTTCATCAATTAAAATGAGAATAATCCATACAGAGTGTGCAAACATTTCAAAGTCATGAGTTGAAAAACGCTGACTCCTCGAGATTAAATATTAGAGCCTAACACAAAGCAGAGCGGCGGCACACTGGCGCCTACAAACCTAACAGGGATACTTCACGCATTGCGCAGTGCGTGAAGTATCCCTGTTAGGCCAGTGGCGTAACGGACTTCCGCTGGGCCCCCCCGCAAAATTTTTTCTGGCCCCCCCCCCATGCCGATAAAATTCCAAAATTATCCCCCCCTCCCACCCCTTCCCATTTTTTGGCCCGAGGCATCCCCTTGGACTGCCTCACCCCTCACCGTTCCAGATCCCGTACCCGATTATATGGGACCCCTAAAGGATCACGGATCTTAAGGGTGGCGGGGGCCCAGCCCAGGCCCAAGGATTATTGGATCTCCCAAAGCCCGAAATACGAAAAGTGACAAAAAAAGAAAAACAATTTAGTAATCACTGAGTGGACATTGGAAGGCAGGGGCCCTCCAGCAACTAAAAAGTTCGGAACAGTCCGAAAGAAGTATGAAAAACCCCGAGCTAACAATAAAAATTGGAGGAAGAAGCCCCATCTCAGTAAGTAAATGCCCAAAGTTTGAAACCTAAGCTAAGCATCAAAGATAGAGAGAGAAAAAAAAATTCCGGCGGCCGAGGGCCCCCTTGGCGCCTGGGTCCCCCTGCATAGCAGGATCTGCGGGGGCGCCCGTTACGCCACTGCTGTTAGGTTTGTAGGCGCTAATGCGCGTTTCGCGCTGGCTGCCCGCCCGCCCGCCGCCGCGCCGCAGTGTACCACGGCGCTTGAAGCAACTATTTCACACCAGAGGTATTGCACAGTATCATACGAAATTGAAGGCGCTCCAGCATATTAGGACTTGCAGGCATCCTTCAAAAGAACGGAGCTTTCCTCGCAAAATAAATCAAGATACCACGGCTCAAAAAGAGAGCGGGAGTCCATAAACTCACTAAGTCCTAGCATCCGTAATTAGTAACGTTTAGCATACACTTTATCGCCAGGCTGTTGCTTTAGTCGCCATCGGCTATAAAAAGCTATTAGAAATTGTGTTGCCGGCTATAGAAGCTATTAAAAATCTTACAGCCGGCTGTAGGTGTATGGTATTTTGGAACACAGATTCTACTGCCAATTTTAGCAGGGAAGGAGTCACAAGTTTCGATCTTTTCGCGTTATAGCGAGACGCATTTCTAAAGCATCAGGAGGCATCGTATAGACGTAGCAGGTAGTAGACAATTGAACCTTCGTACCTCGTACCGTCGTATAAAGGCCTCGATACACGATCAAATAATTCCCGATCCAATTACCATCAAAGTGTCGGGAGTCATCAGTCTGAAAATCGTACTTCGCCTTATTTTCAAATGAAAACCTGGCAGAAAATGTTTCGTGTGGCAAGAAATGATGAATGGTGGCACTCCATTCTGATCAAAATTTGACGGCCCGTCCAATTTTGATCAAAGATGACTGTTGCATGGTGACCATCGGTCATCAACTGGTCTACTTTGATCCGAATTGGTTCGGAATTGGATCGTGTATCGAGACCTCACGACAAATTGTCAGAGCAACCGAGACTGTGATAATGGCGATTCTTGAAAGTTGGCAGCACTGCACTTTGCCAATTTTGACGAATGTGAAATAATCGATACCCATCGATTCTAGGTAGGGAGAGCTGCTTCATCAAGAATCGATTTTTTACAATGGACTCACATGAAGGAAGAACGATGTTGCCGGAATGTACTTTGGCGGTAGTATGGAACTTGTGGGGTCAAAGTAAGACGCGAGACTTAAACGTAACTAACTCTGCAAAGTAAGTGTGTCGATAGAGATAGCATTGAAGCCAGAATGTTACCTTGTTATTCCCATCGTGGTTATATACTGATCTCAGCATGATTCTGCAGTGATGATATGTTCGAATCATGTTGAAGTCGAGATAATACTAAAATTATTCACTCATGCACCGTCATATTAATCGTAGGCACATTCTCAATTCGTCACAATCACTCCCACAGTTTCTCCAAGACTCAGTGCTTTCAAACAGACGATTTCTACTTTAAAAGTCATTGTATCTCTTCTGGAAACGGCCACACTGGTACCATGTAGATCATATCCTCATCAACATAGTAATATGTAAGTGAGTGAAACTCGGTACCATGTTGGCGCCAACATGGTAGCAACTTGGTCTGAAAATTGTTCCCCGCTGGTTCTGTATAAGCACCATGTTGATCACTGATGGAGTGATGAGACCAGGACGATACCATGTTGACGTCATCGTGGTGCTGTGTTTCACTCACCACCAGCGCTCAGGGCCGGATTTACATTTTTAGCGCCCTAGGCTAAACTTAGAGTGGCGCCCCTAAAAGTAGGCGCTCTCGTGGGGGGGGGGGGCGCTCCTCCCCTCCAGATCAGAAGGAGGGGGTCCGGTAAATGTTCAAATTCACCTTTAAAAAAGCACAATTTTAAACAGTTTTGAGGTACGTTTACGTTTGCAGGTTGGCTTTGGAAAATACGTTTTTTAATTAATTTTCAAAAATTTTGCGCCCCTCAGAATGTTGCGCCCTAGGCTATAGTGTATGTAGCCTATTGGTAAATCCGGCCCTGAGCGTAAGTGGCGATTCAATCAGAGGGTATTAACCTCTTTGCGACCGACCCCCGAGGTAGAGCGATGGAAGCGGCAGTCCGTTCGGCCACCCTCTGAACGACGTCGGCGAGCGTCGTTGACGGCGACGGCCCGTGGCAGCCTTCCTTCCCCGGGCGTCTAGCCGCGCCAACACGGAAGGGCGAGGGGGCGCCAGGGGGAGAGGGGACAAGTGTGCGGGTGGCATCGGTTGCGGAGGTGGTTGCGGGTGGCGCGCGCAGCATCCGCGGGGCGCGGGCGGGCGGGCGAGCACAGCTGGGTCCGCGCGCGGCGCACTCAACAGGTCGGCCGCGGCATGCCACAGTCGCACTCTTCCAGATGCCCCAGCGGAGGAAAACGCAACACCTCGCGCCGCACCCCCGGAAACCCGTCAACTCGAGCCCTCAGGAGGACCCCTTGGTCAGCTGCCTGGACGCCGATGCCACCTACATCTGCACCGCCTACAACTCCCGCTGCTACATCATCCAAAAGGTCAGTCCCTCCGCCAGCTTTCACCATTCCATATGTTGTCCGGATCCGACCGCCTCTCCGTCCCCCAATCGCGCCCACCTTCGCCCCGAGCCACTTCCGATGACATAAACCAAAAATACGACCGATCTGATCAACACAAGAATGCTCCTCCTGGTTTACCGTCCGCTGAGAACGCAAAAAATCAGTTGTCGATAGCTAGGCGCTTCGCAGACACCCCCTCCCCCCTCCTCTCCAAATCGTGAAAAACTTCCAAATGTAACCAACACTTTATCCTTTGTGATATATTTTCAAATTCAAAACCACCCCGTTCATTACCCTCAGGTTTAGACACCACAGCTTCATTTATTTGTGCCCATAACCCGACAATATGCCCTCACTTCCGGCAACAGATGCAACACCGTAAAATCTGTTGGGGGCAGGTAGACATACCCCCGATAGAATTGTTTCCACCCCCTCTCTCGCACGTGACGAGCAAAGGCGTAGCAATCGTGAAAGAAGGAAATAACAATCCTAATCTTTTTCACATTCGAGTTGAAGGGTTGAATGGCAAGGGAACCAGTTCGGGTTACTCGGACCGCTGGGTGTTCAGTCGTGTGCAACGGTTTCACCCCCGCTCGTGCGTATTGCAAAGTCGCGTGTTGCAAAGTCGCGCGTTGCAAAGTCTCGCGTTGCAAAGTCTCGCGTTGCAAAGTGTCGTATTGCAAAGTGTCGTATTGCAAAGTTCGTGTTGCAAAGTTACGTATTGCAAAGTCTCGTCTCGATGTTGTAGAGCGCAATAATTGGGCAAATGCGTCCGTTGGCAGTTCGTGCCGGCAGGCTGGAAATGTCGCGGGTGTTGTTGAATGTCAAGAAGTTGCGTGCATTGATTCCACGGCGGAGCTCGGCGTGGATGCTGACGGATCAGCTGACGCGGCGCCCCCTCGCTCTCTCTCTCTCGCGCCCCGGCGCCGCCGCATCGACGCCTCTCGCTCGCCGTTTCACGGTCAACCGCGGCACTGTGTCACGTTACAATCCGATCGATAACCCTACGAATCTTTCGACTTTTCCCCACGCGCCCGTTCGCACTCTCCTTTTCTTCAACCCGACCAAAACCCGAAAACTTTTAAAACCCCCAGCCCCACCAACACGTCTATCTGCACGTTAAATATCGTGAACTTTCGTGGTGTTGTCATGGGTTCCGACGGCCCGTAAGCGCAACACCCTGTCACGTGGGCGGAATGCACTTCGACGCTACCATATGGCGGGCTCCGTAACCTACACAAACATGAATTATTACGTCTGAATCGACTTACTCCGTTCCCCGCGTTGGATTCTGCCTTATTTTTCACCGCGCTTCTAATTCCGGGGTTTTCTGCTCGCATTTTGCGTTGAAAACATCGACCATATTGTTGTGTTGACACCTGGACCCCGCGAGCAGCCCATGTTGACATTTGTCAAAAATCCTGCCGTGCCTCTTTAATTTCCCGATTTGTTAGATTTAACACTCCAACTAATAGAAATTACTGATTCGGGGGATTTCTAAGTACGTTTCGAATGTAAAACCCCAACCATATTGCTATGTTTACACCTGGATCCTCGAACAGTCAATGTTGACATTTATCGAAAATTGTAACTTTTCATTTTTCGGATGTTTTAACTTCAACGCCACAATCTTCATTTGAACTCGCGCGTAAAACCTCCATTTAACCAAAATTTCAATCATTTAACATCGCTGTAGCTGTTCATATACCTGGAGTGGGGCATTCCAGGCTGTTTACAAGTTGCTTTCAAGCCGTTTACCCCTCTCTAAGCGAATTATTAATACCAAACATTTCCCATTTTTTACATCAGTATCTATTCTCGAGTTTCAATGGCAGTGTTTGGATTGGGAAACCTTCATATTTTGACTGTATCCTGATTACGTTGAACGTTTAGCAAGGTCTGATCTGGAAAACGGTTGGACATCACGATTTAAAAAGTTGCTGTTTGATCAGTTTTTGGGGTCCAGTAATTATAATTCATTACGCGTCTTAGTTCCTAGCACTACCGTTAATGAGCCCCTGTAAAATTGCGATTAGGCCAAATACACGTTTTAACTCACGTTAACAATACGTAAGCCGTGGTCATATTTTGAGCGCGTTCCTGATATGAAAGCCACGTTCGGAAATGAATCCTTTATTACGGTTTAAACAAAAATTTTGAGAAGTTGTAACTTATTAATCAATAAGGAAAGTTGCAATTTATTCTTTCAACAAATCACCGAAGGAAGCATCGGTCGAATAGTTCTGTCTGACTGGAACGTTGTGAATTCCATCGATCTGCGTGTATATTTTCTGACAAAAGCCTGACCTTTTTTCTCATTTGACCTTTAAAGAAAAGCATATTCACATTCCAGGGAAAAATTAAAAAATAATCACTAAAATTAATTATAATAATAAAGGTTTCTAAAGTGTTAAAATAAACATATTACGATTCCTCACGAGTAGCGGTAGTCCACAAAAAATCGGAATAGAGTTTTCGGTGGTAGAATATAGAAGGGTGTTTTGCGGACATTTTGAGACATTAAGCACCCAAAAATTTAGAGCTAAACTATATTTATGACGGTTTGAAATTTGTGGGTTAAAAAGGTTGAGCTAACAAAAACAAAGGTACACAGGCAGCCCAAAATCGAAATAGTAGAAGCAAAATCAGGAAACAGTGGAAACAAGGCTAAATAATATATGAAAATACACGGGACGTTTATGTCTTGTTTCCACTGTTTCTTTGTTTTGCTTTTATTATGTTTAGAAAAAAGCTACCCATTCTAAATCCTAATATTTCATTCTTAAGCGACGAAATTATCGGATTACGGCTCATCTTTACTGCAAAACTTTACTTTATTGCAAAATAGTTGACTAAATTGTTTGCAAATAAGTGTGTTGAATGTTTAAAATTACTTACCTCTCATTGCAATTTGGCAAATCTAAAAATTTTACATTAAATCAGACAAATAATAATAGAGATACTAGACGCATAGCCCTCATTTAAGGAGGAAAAGAGCAAGACTTAATTAAATTTTCACCAACATATTCATCAGTTATTGTGAATCAGCATCAACATCGCACTTAGAAAATCATGTGAGTGTATTTAGGCGTGTAATGTTACGGATTTTTGGTCGCATTTCATTTTGTCGAAAGACGAATGGTCATCGATTTTGCTCCAAATTTCGTGCGACTCATTAAAATTGCTCTTTGAAAATTCCCCACTTTTAAATCAAAATTATAAGTTTTCCAGAGGAAAAATCAAAGAATTTCCAAAAAAGTTCCACACTTTGAGATAGGTTAAAATTTGTCTACATATCATGCTTAGACACTTAATTTTTTTGCGATTTCGGCGGCTAGCACCGTTCATTTAATTTACGTTCATTTAAGTAATGTATATCTCGAGAAATCGACAAAATTGCGATTAAAATCAGTTCATCAATCATTTACCTCATCGGCATAGTAGGCAACGCTGGAATTAAGGTATGGTGTAAGTGAAACAATTAAACTTCAGTTAGTGTCTTGTGTGATGGATACTGAACGTATTTCATTATAACGCCTGGATGATACAACTATTCGGACTCCATGGATGTCCGTGTTGCATACGCACGAAAGCGAAGGCGTTTTGATTTCAGTCACCGACTGCCTCATCAGCGGCGCTCAGTGGAGCTACTCAATGAACGTGAAAACATTAAAAGCTCATATCGATGTTAATGCGGAACGTAGATGTCTCACAAGTGATTCATCAACTTCCTCGTAAATATTCCCTCTGAAAGGCTGGTCAAATTCTCGGCGGGCCTTAGTGCGAGGATCTGAAATGATAGTGTCTTCAATTTCTCATAAATACTGCAAAGGCATCTCTCAGACATGAATAGTTGCTCCACAAATCATGCTCGGCTCAGCCCGATATCCAAACTGAAGCACAAAAGATACTCGCATCCTACGCCTGCATGTATGCAACTGATCCTGGCTAGGATATATCTTTTTGTAGAATAAACGGATAATGGATCGTATTCGATAGTGGTTCGATGTATCGTTTGGTTCAAAACAATAGAACATAACCACACATCAAAATCTTAAAATGTTTGTCACATAAGCTGATAATAAGATATTTCTGGGCAATTTCACTCCTCTTGACCAATTAGAAATCATGCAAATCAAAAATTTATCACAAAAAACCCCGTTCCGTCAGATTACTCAATTGACTTTTGAGGCTATGTTTATGTTTTGAACCAATCGATATCGATACAATCTCAACCGTTTGATGTATCGAATACGATCGGTTGAAAGCGCTCTGCCATTTTTAATCCTCGCAGTAAAGCCCACCGTCCGCCGTTCGCCCTGCGCCGCGCCGCGCGCCGCGGGCCACGGACTAAGTGGTGCGATCCTAGACGGTCAAAACGCCTTCACTCCGTGCGCACGCAACACGGACATCCATGGAGCTCGAATAGTTGCATCCAGGAGTTAGTATGCGGTTTGTACAGTGTTCATCGCATTCGAGGGCGCTAACCTTGCTTCCTTCAAACCGTAACTTAATAAACTATTACTGCTTTTTATCTTGCACGCCGCCACGCCGCCACGCCGCCACGCCGTAGACCTTTACCATGGGCCACTCATTGGAGGTTTAGAATTTCAATAATAAGTAACTAAAAAAAAGAACATTTAAAAGTCGATAAATGGCGAAATCCGCACATCAGATAGCGTCACATTTATGTCAATTTTTTTTTCATACATAAAAGTTGTTTTTGTAGTGGAATTGTCTCTTGCTCTATTTAAACCAAATATTCTATGAGGCTGAAAAATTATTATCATTTATTTCACCCACATTTTCGCTTGTTTTCGCGTTTGATAGTTTGGGTGAAATGCTTTTATTTGTTGGCCCTATAGCAGTAAGGGTCTAAGGTGATCTTCTAAAACACATTGAAATAATAGATATTTAATCACTAATTTAAATAAAAGCAACATAAAAAAGGTAGGCACTTTAAAAATCTCACTTTAAAA